CCCTAAACCCTAAACCCTATGCTTCGAAGAAGTCCCACCTTGACGTATGGAGCTGCAGGGTAGTTGCCACTTTGCAGATTGCTCAGAATGTCTGGCTGTGTCTGGCTGCGATAGGCTCCATATCCGTAAACAGCCACCTCATACTGGGTTGCTGTTAAGGNNTTTCTATATTGGGGAAACCCTATTGTTTACTATGTATGTCCATTACGGTAACTTAATTTAAGTTCCTTAACAGCAACCCAGCATAGGGACCCTACACAGAACATATAGGTTGGGTCTTTCCCCCTTACAGGAACTGTTACCACAATGGGTTATAGGAGTTATAAGAACCTTCTTAATAAGGCCTCTTTAAGGACAGTTACTGGGAGGGGGAATGACCCAAGATACAGGGATGTATGTAAGGGTGTAGGGTTTAGGGCTCATCGGGATTCCCATTGGGATAATATTGAGGACCTATTGGGGTTATATAGGGATAATGGGACAAATGGAAGCTACTATAATGGGAGTATATAGGGTTTAGGGGTAATAACCCCGTGGAAAGGAACATGGGCAATTTCATGGAAATGGGCCAAGCCTATGGGGTTAGATATCGTATGGGGTTTGGGCTGTATGATATTTCATATCCAAGTCTAAACAACGAATAAGGCTTGCAAAAACCTGAAACATGTCCGTTGTGACTTTGACTTTACGCTGAGACCTTCAAGGATCATGCGTGTCCAATGCTTCCTCATGTTTGTAGTGGACCAGAAAGCGGCATCTAAACGAGACCCAAGCCACGAAGAAGTACGCCAGGAAGCAAGTGCCGAAGCTCCAGTAGGTAGCCCACATCATCTTGTGCCTGCAATCCCACGAACTGCTTTTGATCATGCTGCTTTCAAGATCTTCTACGGTTATTTCACTACGCAACAACACCTGAAAAATCCAGAAGCCTCTTCGTGGTGAACTTGCTGTCAATGTTCTCGTGCTTTTGTGCCCGCAGCTCGCTGTAGAAGATGGGCACGTTCATGTTGCAGGTGTAAGCGAAAATAAGGACTGGCAACCTCAGCTGGGGCCCACATGGCTACACATACTGTAGTAACAATGGAGAATCAAATGGGAGGTTAACTGGCAAATGAAACGAAAACTGGGATAAATACAGAGCCTATAGAATCCCATTTTCCATGCCAATTTCCATTCTGGATTAGATGTGGGGGTTGCGTACTTGAGTTTGGGTGTCCCAGGTGATCTTTTGCCTGACGGACAGAGCCACGCTCTCTGTGATGAGTACCAACGGGGACTGCAGTTGTGAGAGCCGCCTGAGGCAGACACCCTAAATAGTAGTTTCCATTTTCTTCTCCATCATCCCAACATAACACCCATATACCATATAGTAATTTCCATTTTCTTTTCCATTATCCCCATATGTCACCTCTCTCAGAAGTACATCTAGCCTAGTGTTCTCATGCTCAAGCTGCATAGCCCAGGGTAGGTCTGGGGGCCATATGAAAATTGAATTAGGGCAGGTAATAAAACTTAAAAAAAACCTACCCCTGTAGCAGGGACCCCAGTCTCAACCATGGCCGCACGTCACCAGACCAAAATGGGGTTTTCCCAAGATTAGGGGTACCTTTTTTGGGGGTCCCAATAATAAGGATTACAGTATTTTGGGGTCTATACTGGGGTCCCATTATTTTGGGAAACTACCAAATCACTGCTCTCCTGCGCCAGCAGCTGGGTGAGCAACCCCATCGTCCCTTCGCAGCCGTACTGCAGAGGCTCAGGCTCAAGCTCCTCCCGCAAGTGAGGATCAGGAAAAACGCAACGCTTTATGGTGTATGACCGTAGGCAATAGGTGGTCTTCCTATATTGTGAGAATCTTCAGATTGCAGCACATGTGCATGTATACACATATCTGTGTATACATACATACATACATACATACATACATGCATGCATGCATGCATGCAGGCATGCAGGCATGCAGGCATGCAGGCATGCAGGCATGCATCCATCCATCCATCCATCCATCCATCCATCCATACATCATATGTAGTATGTAAGATTTAATATGCATGATTAACACACACACACATATATAACATTGTATATATCATCTGCTATTATATCATCTCATACTATCTGTGTACAATATCGCGAAACTGGGTCTTGCCTTTTCGGTGAGTTTGGGGCCCGCTTGGGAAGCCATGGCATGCACTGAAGGGTAGCCCACACAGTCTCTGTTTCTTCTCCTTCTCGAAATCCCACTTTCGGGTTTAGGGCTTAGGGTTGCCCATGTTACCCATTTGAAATGGCTGTTTTCCTGGATTTGTATACAGCTTCCCTCAACATCAAAATACCTTGCAGAGCTCTCGTATACAGGCACTTCCACTTCAAGACATGGGACTTTACCCGAGCAGCTGTTTCCAAACTGAGGATACCTACATAGTGGCCGGCATTACACTAATTGGAAGACAACCCCTTCCCTTCCTAAGCCCTGAACGCAAATCTCGGAAACCTTGACCCGGAAGAGAACCTTAAATCCTGAAACCTAAACTCAGAAAGCTGAGCCCTGAATCCTGAACCCTAAGCCCCAAACCCTGAACCCCAAACCCTAAGCCCTGACCCCTAAACCCTGAATCCTAAACCCGGAACCGTGAACCCTAAGCCCTAAACCCTGAGCTCTAAAAATGCCTCATGGGTTCGCAGCCCCAGACCCACCAGCGAGACAGTGAGGAGCGCAATCATCAGAAGGCAAACCTGGCAACTTTGGATCACTTATCCATGTGGGGTTTAGGGTCTGAGGGTTTTGGGGTTAGGGTCTAAAGGTTTAGGGCTTACGGGTTTAGGGTCGAGGGTTTGGGGCTTATGGGGTTTAAGGTTTAGGGTTTAAGGCTTAACATTTATAGGGTCCAAGGTTAAGGGAAGGGTCTAGGGCTTCAGGGTTTGCGCCATAGGAGTTAGGGATTTATATGCTAAGTACTTGAGGCCGTACTATAATGGGAGCAACACAAAACTGGACTATGATTTTGATATCCCATACCATTCACCTCTAAACACTAAAACCTAAACCCCAAAACCCCTAGACCCTAAATCCTAAACCCTTAGATCCTAACCCCAAAACCCCGAAATCCTCCTTAGACCCTACAAAACCCTTAGATCCTAAAGCCTTAGACCCCAAACCCTTTAGAGCTTAGAATTTGGAAGCTCCCACCAAGGATGCATGGCGCAAAGCTCCCATGGACGGCATGGAGCTCAAGGGCCACAGCACGAAAACTGCGGAGGCTACCAGGAGAATTGTTCCTTGGTTGAGGGTGGAGGATTTGGGGTTGAAGTTTAGGATTAGGGGCTTAGGTTGTTTTGACTTAGGGTGTAGAGTTTAGGGATATTACCCCCCATAATTAATGGAGAATCAAATGGAAAGCAACATGAAAACTTAACTGGAAACTGTGGTTCTGCGGGGCCTAGCACGTTACCTGAGCCCCTAGCCCCCCCAAGGGATATACAGGCATTACAAGGATCTAGGGTTTAGGGTTTAGGGTTCCTGACTTGAGATTTTACGTTTTTCCTCGGTCCTACCTTTGGTTGGCAGGGAGTGAAGGAATGGATCCTTATCGTAAGTAGTCCCTACGTAATCCCTAATAGTCTAGTCTAGTACTTTCCTTCTTTCCCATTCCTTCATTTTCTGCTGATCAGGGGTACCAGGAGAATCATTCCTTGGTTCAGTCTACCTTCCCTTTAAAGGTGCTATGGGGGCTATGTAGGGATTGTGTAAGGCTTAGGATTTAGATAGTGGCCCCTTGGTTCCGGCTGAATTTTGATACCGTGGATGGCCACCTAAACCCTAAGCCCTAAACCCTATATAGACCCTAAATCCTAAACCCTAATCCCAAACCCTATACCCTAAACCCTAAGCCCTAAACCCTAAATCCTAAACCCTAAGCCCTAAACCCTAAACTCTATGTAAATTATCAGGTTTTGGGGATCATGAGAGCTGCGAGGTTTCGTTCATCCACAGTAGTTCCAAAGCCTGAAACAAATCCAGTTTGCCTAAACCTTGGGTACTCCCCCCCCCAGTAACAGTCTATNNATTATCCAACTGTTAGTGAGGGGGAGCAGTACCCAACCTAAACCCTATAAACCCTACCCTAAACCTTCACAAGCTAGCACTTGGGGCCAGCGGTTGTTGTAATTTGCCCCGCTGGATTAGGCTTTGCCAGTTTTTGTGTGGGTGCGTAGGATTTTGTGCTGTATCAATTGCAAAAAAAAGGTGCAGAAGATGGGTCTCAACAACCCAGTCAAACAATATTGGTTGATAATTCTGGTGCGTGCGAGAAAAAATATCCAAATACTCCCAAAGGCAAACGTAGTTTCGTTGCTGCAAGGCAGCTGGCGCACCTATGAAGTGCATGAAGGCTGGTAAGATATCCCCAAGGATCATAACATACGACACCAGAACCCCGATGTTGTAGAGCACGATTGCGCAATCAACGCAAACTGCCATGGTCTGACCGAAGAGAACCTAGGTTCCCCAGTAAGCCCTTCATAATAAGGGTACCCTTTTTCCTATTGTTCTGTTTTAATAAGGATACCCACAAACAAAAAGGGTAAAAGGGTACCAAACCCTAAACCCTAAACCCTAAACCCAGGAACATTCGCTACCTCCGCGTAGGACTTTTGTCGCACCTGTGCGACCCTCCAGTCCATGGGCCCCCCGAAATCAAGATATTCAGGGTTATTGGGGATCGTTTTAAGAGCTAGTCAACGCTTGTTGGGGCTTATTCTCCCAAAATTAAGGCCCTATTCAGGTTATTGGGGATTATGTTTTAGGGCTTATTGGGGCTTATTGGGGCTTATTAGCTTGCGGGTATACGTCTGCTTCTCGGCTTTGGGCTGGGGCCCGCAGGAATAGTCTTGATCACTATGGTTGTGAGCTAAACCCTAAGGGTCCAAGCCCCCAAATCATGGGGCTTTAAAATCTCAAATGCCGTGATCTGAATGGTTTGTGCTACCTACAACCACAATGGTTGGGTACATGGACCCTCAGGAAAAGCCGTAGACCTCCGGCTTGAATCCCCGATTTCAAAGCTCCGAGTTCTAAGCGGAAAGTGGCCTCCTCCATGGCGATTAGAAGCATCCACACCGAGACCACGCCCAACACGGCCATGGCCACCAAGAGGACGCAGCCAGTAACGAGCCCCAGCTTGGCAAACGCAAAGGGCAGGCCAAGAATCCTTCAGGTTTAGGGTTTAGTGTTTAGGGTTCAGGAGTAGCATCTGGCGGTGTTTTAGGGGTCTTGAGGCTTCAGGCTGTAAGATATCTGAATGTTTCGGGCTTCAGGCTTGCAGGGCTAGTAACTTCTTTCTGGGGTTTTGCTGCTGGAGCCACCCTAAAGATTTCCCCATATACCCCTACGATGCCAGAATTATGCCCAGATATTCCTTCATAACGCTCAATAGCATTCCTGAGACTCCTTCCAAACTCCCAAAACCCTAAATCCTTAAACCCTAAAACCCGGAAGTACCATAATCAGAAAGAGAGTCCCCCCACCAATGATCGTGTTGGAGAGGTTGAAAATCGTGGCTCGGAAGCCTGAGGGTTTAGGGCTATGGGGGATACATGGGGCTTATAGTGGTTATATAGGGGATATATAGGGGTTATATAGGGATAATGGAAAAGAACATGGAAACTACTATTTAGGGCATCCTTAGGCCCTAAACCCTAAACCCCGAATCTTCGAAACGATGTTGAAGCTCTGGATACCCAAACATGGGCCTGGGCAAGCCCAGAAGTGCTTTCTCTAGAAGTGTTAGGGTTTGGGGTTGTAATAAGAATAGTAATAGTACTCATAATAGTAATAGTAGTAGAAATAGTATAGTAGAAATAGTAGTAATAGTACGCGCGACGCGCATATTTGACGACCCGTCCGTTTCAGGGCGATCAAGATTCAGGAGTATGCAAATGCTGGCAGG